GGATCATGCTTAGTGAAATAAGCCAGAAAGAAAAGGAAAAATACGGGATGGTTTCACTTATAGCAGGAGTATAAAGTACCAGGGGAGAAAATAATAATAGTAATGAACAACTATATAATATAGACATCCTTTGGGGATGGAGTGGGGAGTGGGGTCAAAAATGGTGGGGGGGAAGTGCACTGGACTATGATGATGGCATACGGGTGAATTGGTGGTAGGAAGTCCATGGGGATTACAACTGAGATGGAAAAAGGCACAAAGTGACAGTTCATCCTAAATTAATCCCTTTCTCTCATATAGTATATATCATGTCCTTAAATTGTTCTAGATAAGAAGCTATAGACTGGCGCTTGTGAGCTAAAGAATCAAGAACTGTGTCTTATTCAGCTAACAAACCATGCAGGTGGCATGCCTTCTTGACCTTCTCCTAGTGAGCATTGTGATTCCCTGAACATCTTTCATCAAATAGGTTTTAAACAACAATTCTGTATTTAATTCTGAAATCATATGTTACAGTGCTATATTACCAATGGCTTATTACTCATAACATTATCCGTGCCTTCATTTTTAATTAAAAATTATATATAGAAATAATGAACAGCTATATACCAGAGACATTTTATGGGGGTGGAGTAGGGAATGGGATCAAAAACAGTGAGAGGAGGGAAGTGCGCTGGACTATGGTGATGGCACATGGTTGATTTGGTGATGGGAAACCCACGGGGATTACAATTGAGATGGAAAAATGCACAAAATGATGTAAAAATAAACTATAATAATAATAGTAATATTTTAAAAAAAGTGCCCTTAATAGAATGGAACTGAAGCCAGATTTCAGTAATTTGAATGGTGACAAAGAGGAAAATTAAGACAATGAGTATGGACAAAAGAGTCTTGCTATGAAAAAGGCATGAACTAGGAGAAAGTAACTAAAGGAGGGCATGTCACTGAGTGAGTCTCCTTAAGATGAGAGAAACTTGTGAGAATTTATGTCCCTGCTTGGAAACCAAATCCACTTGACAATAGAAGTTCCAGTCCCCAAGTCTGTTTGTGTGCTTAGACCAAGCCTTGATCCCTCTGAAGATTGTGAATCAGGCTGCACACCCAGGGAAAATGAGGTGGGGCCCTCTAACAAAGGAAGGTTGGGTCCCATTAAATTAAGCTTATCAAGGAACCACCACCAACGGTGCAATGGCAGTTGGGCATGTGGGGAAGAGTTTGGTGAGTGGGGAGGAGCCTGTGAAGGTTGAACCAGGGCAGGGTAAACCTGGAGACTTCCTTGCTTTACTCTCTGCCCCAGATGGCCTGTTACTTGGGGCTTCACTAGCCTCTTTGCCACTTCCTGCTGAGAAGAACAGGGACTGGGAGAGGAAGGGCCATCTGGCACCTTTGGACAATTGCCATGGCAACTGCAATCAGGTATTTGACTTTGGTCATTGCCTGGGAGTGGTCCTCCCATGCGTCCTGTTTTCCGAGTTATAAACTCACTGTTGTATAGCCCGGACACCCCTCTCCCCACCATGTCGATCTTGACATCATGACAAAACAAGATTCTTTGGTTACTGCCTCTCTCTGCTGCCTGGAAGCATTTGCCCTCCGGTGCCTTGAATATGATTTTTTTATGTGCATGTAAACACTAGGAAATTGAAACTGATCCAGAGAGGGAGGCTGCTGGCCAGTAGTTCAGGGCAGCGGAGATGTGCAAGGTCAAGTAGACACAGACCAAGAATTTCTACTTCTCCTACTCCCAGCAGCAGAGTATCTCCCACCCTTGTGAGCAGGCCCAGGATGCTGCAAGGGACATGGGGAAAACCAGGACCAAAATGACCCATGACCTTATACTTTCACAAGACAGCCCGAGCCACATGCTTCCCCATACTCTGCAGCAGGGCTGCTGAGACAGCACTTACCTGAATCTCATGCCTTTATGGCCCCCAAAAGAAAAGACAGGATTTGAATCCAGAAAGGGAAGAGACAAGGATCGTGTACCCTGCAGAAGGACTCTGGTCCTCTGGCTGTGGAGCTGATAAAAAAGATGACAAATACCTGGCTCCACTCTAACATTTAAATTCAGTTATGGGGGGGATCAGGGCGCTGGCTTAATTTCTGAAACACTTCAGTGTGGAGAATCACTAGCTGCCAAATTAAGGGCTCAGGCTATATCTTCTGATCCTGAGGCTTCCTAGGGGCATGACCTTACGCAAGCCCCTCCATCTCTAAGCCTCCGTGGCCTGCTTTCCTCCAGAGGCCACGAGTCCAGACAATCACTAGCTGCCGAATGGAGTTGTGGGTGAGCTAAATGAAATAATCACATCCAGGGTTTGGCGCTGCACCTGGCCAAGTGGTCAAAACGTTATGTTTGTTGAAATGGTGGCTGTTACGACTCTAGGAGCAGTAGATATGGAAGGTATCTACGCAAGAAAGTACCGCTTTCTATGACCAGGGGCCCACATGGTCCTTTTCCCAGGGTGCGATTGAGGGGCGTCAGTCAAAGTGGCCCAAGGTTGGGTTGGTGCTCACTCTGGTTACCCTGATATTCTGGTCTGGTGCTGTCCTTTCTAGGATGATGGAAATGTTCTCTAGGCTAGTCACTAGCTGCATGGGGCTGGAGTACTCAGATATGACTAGCGTAACTGAGAAACTAAACTTTCAATCCTATTTAGTTTTCATTAAAGTAAAATACACACGGCTGAGAGCTGCAGTTTGTGTGTTGAAACCAAGAGCAAATAAAGACAAAATTAAGGGGAAACATAGCCTTTCTTCTATCTCATTTGAACAGTCTGATGAAGGAGAAATACAGGTATTACTAGCCCCATTTCATAGATTAGGAAACTAGCCTCAGGCCTTCCCTGGTGGCACAGTGGGCTAAAACGCAGCATTATGAAGTTGTCGGCAGCCACCGCAGCAACAAGTTTGATCCCTGCCCAGGGAACTGACCCACATGGTGCGGCAGACCTCTCCTGTCTCGCCCACTGCTCCCCTCAGCAGTGTATTTCAGTCAATCTGCCTGTTCTGCTCCCCACTCTGTCTCTGGTGAATTTTTCATCCACCCCCACCTCTAGCCAGTACCCCAGTTCTTATATGCATAAATAAATCTTTAATAATAAATCAAAGAAGGAAACAAGTCTTAGACATGTTAAAAGGCCGACCCCAAATCATGAAGCGTGCTAGAGGCAGAGAGCCCAGGCCAGTAGCGACAGATTTCTAGAAAGCAGCTTCATCCCCAGTTGGGAAAAGCTTTCCTTTCCTTTCCCATCAACCCTCAACTCCTCCAGAGGTCTCCAAGTAGGTGCTCTCCTAGCCCCTGAGGTCTCCTCCCTCCTCCCCAACGCTACCCACCTGAAAGAGCTCCTGGACCTGCTTGTCCATCCACTGCTCCACCTCCACCCAGCGCTGGAGGTATCCTAGGTCATACTTCACTGTCAGCCGGCTGGGTCTCCGGGACCTGGGAACTTTGGCGGGGTCCTTTAAATCCGAGTCTGAGGATGTCCTCCTCCTCCCAGAAGCCCACTGGACCTTCTTACTTGAGTTCTCCGTGCCTGGGTTGGGAGCTGTGCAGGAATCAGGGCTTGAAGACAGCATGGAAGGATTGGCCTGGGAATCCAGCTTTTTCCAAGCTGGGAAAAGCTACCAGGGAGAGCAAGGGTGACAGGAAAGTGAGGAGCCAGGGAACAGAGGGAGAGACTGGCAGGGAAAAGGGACTACTGGCAGTTGGCCGCTGGGGCTGGCGGCTGGCAGGAGGGCTATGGCTCTGGGAGGGGCAGGGGTCAAAGATCAACAGGCAACTTTGTCTGGTGCTGGGAACACCAGCCTCCTCTCTCCTTGTTACCAGTGAGTGGCACTCTGGAGTCATGCCCCATCTTCCTTTCTGCTGCTGCTGAGCAAAGGGCAAATGGGTGCCTGCCATACCTTCTCTGGCAAAAAGGGGCCCAGGGCCCTGAGGGGTGCAAATCTCTGGTTGGTGCTCTACAATCAGATCTGAATCAGGACCCAACTCACACTCAGCTGAGAGCTTGCTGGGCTTCCCATCTTCCAGAGAGGAGACCCCCCCCAACCCCCCCACCCCGCAGTTCCTGAGGAGCTGCAGGTAGATGGCCATTGCGGATAGAGCCTCAGTAGGGGATAGAGTCAGACAGATGGGTGCTCCTGGCCCTTGGGGGTCAGTGCCTTTGTCTGAATGTGAGCTGACTTGGCCCTTTGTTCAGCAGCAGTAGAATGGAGGCTGCTTTTGGGAAGAGGAACCCCACTATCCACCAGACGCTGCTTGCTGTAGAGCTGGTCTCCCAGACCTGTTTTCCAGAGGCAACTGCTTAGGAAACCTCGTGACCCTCCCCTAAATCACATCTTTCCTGACACAGAGGAAAACCTGCAGACGTAATTTATACCAGGTGTGAACAATTAATATTATCTATCTTGACAGACTTGTTTTCTAAAGGAAGGGTATTTTTGTTTAGTCCTTTGTGGAAAAAATGTCTGAACATTTTAGAAAAGTTACAGAATGGAACACAATCATTTTTTGAAATGAATAGTTCAGGATGAACAAATGAAAAATTAATTTTCTCTCCTCTCCTCAGAGATGATCCCTACCAACATCTTCTGTTTTTAGTTTTGTGATTATCATTACTCTTTTGTAAAACAGCTTACATGTGTCCATTTTAGACAATTTCTCATCTCCTCAGTATGAACTTAACTGCCTCATTCACACTAATTCCCATTTACTTTCCTCTTTCTGGTTTTTGTCTATAAATTTCTTTTTAGATCTTGCAGTATCTTTTAGGTCTTGTTCTTTGAAGGACAGACCTCCCCAAGATGTCAGAAAAGGCCTTCGCAAGATGTGTCATTTTGGCTTTATTACTGTTATTTAAAATTTATTAAGATGTGTCACTTTAGCATGTCATATTTGGAGCCTAGGTCAATCAAGACCCTGCAGGCTCATGAGAAACTTTTCGTGACTCCTTTTACTGACTGGAAGAATGAAAACTAGGGGTATTATTCAGAATAAGGATTTTTACCAGAAATCCCCTTTCCATCAGAGAAGCCTATCTATATGGTAGGCAAACATCTAATTACAGCAATTCTGATCTTTGTCATGGGAGTCATTCCCTCGTTACATAAGCCCCCCTCCTCTCTCTTGAAGCTCAGGGCCCCTATTACCTGCCTCAGTTCAGGGTATGTGCACCTTCATTTTGCCCCATCTATATCCATGCAGACTCTCTATACATATGTAATCAGCTTTGTTCTTTTCTCCCACTAATCTAACTGATGTTAATTTGATGCTAGACCAAGATAAATCCTGAGGAGTAAGGATAAATTTCCTCTGTACCCCTACCCCTTTATGACCTTGAAATTCTGTTTCCTATGTACTAAATATCATAAGTTGACCCTTTAAAAAGAGCTTTAGAAAAAGACCAATAGAAGTGTCTTTACTGATGAAATATCAGGCCCCAAGTTACCTCTCCATGGTAAGGGAGGTGTGTGAGAGCTGGAGGCCAGGACGGTAGCCTGGAAAAGCCTGGGCTTCAGAGGAAGGCTGACAGATGGGAATTCAAACTCAGTTTTGGCCAGCATTGGTTTTATAACCTTCAAGGTTCACAACCTCTTTGAATCTGTTTTTTCCTCTGCAAAATGGGTCCTTGGGGAGAATTAAATGAGATGAGAGCTGTGAACATTTAGCATGCTATCCAAAAGAGTCCCTTCTCAGTAGAGATGCATTCCCTTCCTTTTTCACTCCCCATTACCCCTACTTTCTTGGATGAGGCGCTCTTCCCCTGCAGTTTTTCTGCAGGGGTTTCCTTCTGGGCCCTCTTTGGAAGAGGTTGAAGGTGGAGGAAGCCTCTACAGTGTAGACACTGAATTCAGCAATTATTTTGCCACTCTGTGATCAGCCGGTATTGTCATAATAGTTCTCTTCATCTTCTATTCTTGTGACAGATTTGAACCAAAGCAGAAGAATAATTGTGCTTCATTCATTCATTAACTCACTTAACAAAGATTTTATAAGATACTCCATCCAGGCAAGCATTATGCTTGGGGATTGGTGATCCAAAAAAAAGACACAGCCCTTGACTTCCTGTAACTTAAATTCTATTGTGAAAATTAACAAACATTAATCAACTAACTAAATAAATGTAAAATTGCAACTGTATTTAGTGGTCAGAAGAAAAGAGGTCTAATGATGGTATGATCTGGTAAGTGGTAACATTTGGACAGAATTCTGAAGGATGAGTAAGAGTTAACGAGACACAGGGGTCAGCAGGAGTGAGTCTTGCAGAAGGCAGAGCACATGCAAAGGCCTGTTGCCAGGACCAATGGTAAATACAAGGAACTAAGGGAAAGACAATAGAGCTGAAACAGAGAACGCGGGAAGGGGGAATGAGCCATGGGGGTGTAGGTGTCTACACAGGGGCCTGTCAAGGAGTTTGTATCTATCCTAAGAACACTGGGCATCACTGCTAAGATTTAAGCAAATGGTGGTGCGGCAGCCTGATGTGTCCAGATTTTTATTTCCATCAGATCACCCTTCCTGTTGAACAGAAAAAGGACTGGAGGTTGTAGAAGGCCTGAAGATCAGTTGGGAGGTATTGTTGTGGGCCTTGACTAGAAAGGTAATGCTGTTCAAAAGGGAAAAGTGGACAGGCTAGAGAGCTATTTTGGAAGTAATATTTAACAGAGCTTGGTGATGGACTGCAGACACAAAATTATGCACGCATTCATGAATGCCTACCAGGGCACACAGCCAGGTTTGTGCATGAAGTGTTCCTGAACCTGTTCCCTTATCTGCAAACTGGGGATTGGTGCAATTCTGCTTGAGCACCAAATACGGTCCTATTGAAACTCAATGCACACCAGTGAGTTATGCCCATCATTTATAGTGTGAGACTCCTTATTTACATTCTCCTATCTCAGCTAAAACACACAGCTCACTGACCTCTGCATGTCACCGTTCACCAATAAGTTTGTCCAAGATAAGGTAATTCAGACTCACGATAAGGTGAGAAAAATAAACTACCAGGACCACAGGTCACATCAGGTAGAGAGCATAAGCCTGGTCACCAATAGCAAAGGTGTGTTGTCTCTCCCGCTTTCCTGGCCTGAGACCAGTGGTAGCATAAAATGAGCTGCCAACAGGCACACCCATCCAAACTAGGCTGTTCTTTTATACGATTTCTGCTCTTTTTCTATTTTCTAAAATAATAAAAACACATTCATTTAGAAACATTGCTAAATTTTAAAAACCATAAAAATTTCCCGTAATCCTACCACACAAAAAACACCCGTGCTAATATCCTGGAAAATTTCTTTCTAGTCTTTTTTTATGTACATATCTTTAACATAGTTGAAAACATACTATATATAATTTTTTGAAAACTTTTAACTGCTATTATGCAAGAAATAGGTTTTTAATTTTTTTTTTAAAGATTTATTTATTTATTTGTACAGAACTGGGGTACAGGCCAGAGATGCGGAGGGTGAGAGGATTCACCAGAGACAGAGTGGGGTACAGAACAGGCAGATCG